GGTAAGGGCATTCTGCCTTGTGATAATGTTGGACCAAGGCTTGAACAGCGATGGGTAGAGCCTCCCATCGCTGTTTGGCATGGTTCTGGAAGTTGGTTTGGCTAAGGGGCTACTTACCCATCGATGGGATGTTCTTCCCATCGCTGGGTGGGTGGTTAGCCAAAGACCTGTGGTTTTTTCCTTAACCACAGCCTAGCCAACCGATGCAAAACCGACCGAAAAATCCAAGGTTCTCCAAAATAAAAACCAAATGTTTAAAACACTTATTTGATGTATTTGGCTAAGAAATCAAGTGAGACACTTTAAAAATCACTTCATTTGATTAAAAACCACGGCTAGCCAAGTTTACGCCGTTTTGCGTGGTTTTTGTCAAACGACTAAAAACGAGAGATGGTTTTCAAAGTGTTTTTGTTGGAGAACCGTTTAAACATGCCAAAGAGTGAAAGCAGATCATAAAATGCTGAAAACCACTTGGTTGGTTCGGATGCCAAAAACCAAACCCGACAACCGAAAGCCGAACGCTGGTTTCTTAAAGCCGAACACTGGATGGCTTGGTTTTTGGTTTGGGCGAACACCAAGTGTTTTTAATGACTTAAACAAGTTTGAAAAACATTTTTATGATGTAAGAAATGCAATGAGAGATTTTAGCCTAAAGAGCCAAGGTGTAAAGATTGGGTCGGTCTTGATCACAATAAAGATCGACTCAATACTATGATTAACGTCTTCGTTTTTGGTCTTCGTTTAGCTCTTTCTCTTATCTTCGTTCTTCGCCTTGTATATTCAATGTTCGACTTGATCATGGTGGTTTGGCATTATCAAAACCTGTTACAAGAACGAACACGGCTTTAGTACGAAAACGTGACAAGCCCGTGTTTCAACACCGTGTCCACCCCTAAAGTGAGATGACATGTTTCGGTCAGATGACGCAAAGCTCACCACACTACACTAGAAAGCTCACCAATGGACAATGCAAAGCTCACCTGGAAATAAAGCAAAGCTCACCACTTTGAACACCAAAACTCACTTTTTTTTAAATCTTGAAAATTTAAAAATTAATTAAAAATAAAATAGCAACACCGGTCAACGGCGGCGGCCAGAGTCTGGCGACGGCGACCAGCAGTGGCTGCCGGAGCCCGGCGACGGCGGCCGGCGGTGGCTGCCGGAGTCCGGCGACAGCGGCAGGCGGCGGTCAATGCTGGTGGTCAACAGTCAAAGTCCAGTCAGCACCCTTTCCTTTAATTTTATTTTTTCAAAAAAATTTAAAGTATTAAAAAAATGTAGTGAGTTTTGTCTTAGAGTTTGGTGAGCTTTGTAGTTGTCTTTGGTGAGCCTTGCAGTAGCCAGTAGTGAGCTTTGTGTCATCTGACCGAAGCATGTCATCTCACAGTAAGGTGTCATTTCACTTGAGTCAATCCCATTATATTTATATATATATATATATATATATATATATATATATATATATATATATATATATATATATATATATATATATATATATATATATATATATATATATATATATATATATATATATATATATATATATATATATATATATATATATATATATATATATATATATATATATATATATATATATATATATATTCTCTCTTTATCGTGCTCTCCCTCCTGCATGAGCATCCCTCCGGCCACCGGAGATTGGAAGCCACCATATCCGGCCAAAACCTTTCTTGCTGCTCTCACAAACTCATCTTCCCCGGTCCCCTTACTGCCAACAGGTAGTCGAAGACCTATTGAAAACTATAAGGTCCTGCCATCATCATGTTTCTCAAATAATGATGTTTCTATTCTTGTTTCAAGGTTCTCTAAGGTACTAGTTAGATCTTTCTTTTTAGGAAGGCCAAGCATTGCCTTCATCAGGAACTGTCCTGAAAAAATAGGCTTAGTGGACTTCAATATAACACTCATTGATGTCACCCACATTCTGCTCAACCTCTCTAGATAAGGATGACTTCCACAAGTGCTTCAAAAGGAAAATCTGGAAATTGGGAAGCTACGACATGAAAATATCAAGATGGACTCCAAACTTTGATCCCAGGTTTGAATCCCCTCTTTTACCTATCTAGATATCAATAAAAGATCTTCAAATTCATTTTCATGACCACCATTCATTACTGGACATTGGCCGTCTGTTACGCTCCCCTATCAGGATAGATGCCACCACTGAATGCTCTGCATGATACATCATGAGGCCTCCAACCTTTCATCTTTAGACGAGGGATCAAGAAATGGCAAGGAGAGGATTCACCTTCAAGAAAGCTTTTGAGTCCAACATCACAAACCATCCTACTTTGTTCCTTTTCAAAATGGCATGCAAAAAAATCAAATCCCAAAAATTAGCCACTTCCTCTAGAAATTACTGCATAACGTACTCCCATTCTCTCCCACTCTTACAATATTCAACATTTCTCTCCCTAGAATATGTACATTCTGAAAAAGCAATGGTAATAACAAGGACCATTGCCTCTTGAAGTGTGATACCTCCCAGCATGTATGAAGACATTTCAACCAGGGTTTTTCTAGACCCCGTGTCAATAGCAACTCCTCAATCAGGCAACACTTAAGGTTTTGGTTCCTAGATTCTAAAGGTAGAAATTTCAATCACAAAACAAAAGGACTATCCCTAGACTCATCACTTGGGTAATTTGGAAAGAGTACGATACTTGCTTGTTTTAGGATAAGGGAGTTATGGCCCCCAAGATGATTTCTGAAGTTTAGAGGGTCACCTTGGAGCTGTCAAACACACCTTTTATATTAATGGAAAGTGGCTTAAGAGAGGAGTGTGGTCCTAATCCATTCTCTTCCTCTGTATTGCCTTTTTCTTTTTTTCTCCCTTTGTTCCATTTATACTTTCGGGGCCTCGGTCTTGTCCTCCCTGAATATGCACTCATCACTTTATATATATATATATATATATATATATATATATATATATATATATATATATATATATATATATATATATATATAGGCCATCCAAGAATCATTTTGTGTGCGCAATTTATGCTTACCACCATGAATTTCATGTTCAACCTAGCATTGAGCGCACCATCCCTAACTATCATAGGCATCGTGATGACTCCTTCGGCCTCGATGGAGTCTCTCGTGAATCTGGATAGGGGGGGTGCGCACATGCTTGAGGTCTTTCCGGCATGGGCCGAGGTCCTTGAAGGTCTTCTCGTACATGATATTTACCCAGCTCCCAGTATCCAGCAAGGTTCGGTGCACTATAATATTGTCTATCTCCATCTAGATGACGTGAGCATCTCGGTGGGGGCTCGGTGTGTTCGGGATGTCCTTCTCTGTAAACTGGATTTGCTCCCTCCTCCCGAGTTTATTCGCCAGCACCTGGTGGACTTTGGCGACGTACGCCATGTGCTTCCACTTCTTCCTGTAGGCGATGGAGACCCCACTGATGTTCCCACCATGGATGAAGCCAATAGGGTACCCCTACGCTTTGTTGTCATCTAGGTCATCGCACTCTCAGCTGCCTATGTGCCTCTTCTCCGGGTTCCTTCCTTGCGTGGCCACGACGACAGGCTCGATCGGCTTCCTCCAGGTTCTTCCATCCGGTGCCCCTCGTGACGGGGCTGCACCGTCCTCCCGGGGGGACGGGCCCTCGGGAAATCAAACACTACATCTCCTTATGGAGTGTGAAGCATTCCTTCATGTTGTGGATATTCTTTGTGGTGATATTTGCAATACTTGGCACCACCGGACACCACATAGGTCTCCATGTGGGGGAGCGGGGAAAGACCCAGCTCTCGACTCATCACCACAGGTGCCTGTACGGAGTAAACTCCGGCCACATGTGCTTTGGGACCAGCGGTGTAGTTCTCCTTCTTCTTCCTCTTCTTCGAGACTTCCCCTGAGTCGGTGGGAACTCACTTGGCCGGTGCAGCCTCGAAGTAAGGAGCATCGTCGAACTCTTCCGAGGCTAGGAACTTAGCGCGTGCCAAGGTCTCTTGATATGTAAGGGGAGGGTTCTTACGGAGCTCCTTCCTCACCTCGCCCCGAGGAAGGGCTGCTTGGAACATGGCCACTAAGGCTTGGCCGTCTGCCCCGTGGACATCCTGGGCCTCCTTCTCCCATCAAACTATGAAGTCTCGGACCTTCTCCCCATGGCGAGTGTAGATGTTGAAGAGATGGGAGTAGGGTAGCCTCTACCTGTCGTTGGTCGCGAAGTGGAATAGGAACTTCTCCGCCAAGGTGTCCCAACCATCAATATTTCCCTTTGGTAGTCGGTTGAATGAATTGCACGATGAGCCCTCTAGCGTGGCGAGGAAACATCAGCACTTTACCTTGTCCGGCCCTGCCGCCGCTTTCATGGAAGCGTAGAAATTCGACAGGTGGTCTTGTGGATTCGTCATTCCATTGTAGGCTTTGATCTTCCACGGCCGAAGTAGCGGCACCAACATAACCCTTGGTGTGAAAGGGGTGACCGTCCTCAGGATCGGCTGGCTGTAGGGCGACTTGGTTTCCACCCGACGCTTGAGCTCAGAAACTTCCCACGTGAGATGAGACATACCCTGCTCCCAGCCTTTGGTCTTCTCTGTCCTCGTGGGGCTTCGACGATGCTGGGTTTGCTCGTCTTGTCGTCCATCTGTGCGCTCAGGCCGACCTGAACGTGCATCTGAGTTGGTCGATTCCTCAGGATGCTTCCTCCTCCCCTACAAGATGTGACATTTTAAATCACCTTGGTGGGTAGAGTGCCATTAGTTGAGCCAGCCTGTCGAAGGCCAATACACGAGTTTCCTCTCTCCCAGCCTCTTGAAGGCCGACACTCAACCCTCGGTGGAGTCATCATCCCCCTCTTCGGGAATATCTTCACCAGCACTTCCTCTACCATCGAGGCCTTGTCAGCCTCCTCCGGTTGCTCCAGGTCTTCTTCCTCTTGTGGTGGGAAGTGGCAGCATGCTCGGTAATGGGCTTCCCAGAGCCTGGGTGGCTCCAGTGCCACGCCCGCTTCTAGGTTATGCGGCTCCGCGTGAGATTCCTTTTGTCGCCTAACCGGTGTCCTTGGCGGTTGGAGGAAAGCAAAACATTAAATCCCTCTTAGGTGCGTCCACGTGATTGGGTAGAATTGAGCACAGATCCCTATACGGTCCGAGCCAATGATCTAGGCTCCTAAGGACCGAGCTGCTCGCTCCTCATCGAGCCGAGCTTACCTGGGATGTGGGGTCCGGTATTGGGGCCCAATGTCAGGCATTCATGGGATTACCCTCCGTCACTTAGTTATTTAAAGGGTAATAAAGTTAACCCAACACGAGTATCATACTTTTTTGGTATTAATAAGGACACACATAATTTAGTATTCATTGATATCATATACGGATTAATAAAGATTACATTATTGCTACTTGAGTCACTTATTATACATTCTTTATGGGCCTATAACATATTCTAGGCTAATGCTTGTTCTTAATAGTTTCCTATGGGAGCCATGACCTTCCCCTTCGAAATGAAGGTCACGCTCAAACTAACTCAAGAGTTCCTCATTGGGTGGGTGAGATCGTTGTCCCCTTCAAAATGACAGTTTAAAGATCCCCGTGTGCACGTTTTTACCTGATAGTCATTGGACCTAGCAGATACCACATGGCTTCTAACATTTTTACAATTATGGCATACTCATGTCAATCTTAGAGTTCTTCTAGTTAGACTTACTTCAATCATTCGATTCATCATTCATTCATTACATAATATTCATTAATGGGAATCAACATATTCAAACAATCAATAATAATTCAAGTACTAGCCTAGCATTGTGTGTGACCCTATACTTCCCATCGTGCAACATATAAGGTCTCGTAATACATCCTTAGCATTTAAAACAGAGACAAAAATGGACAAGAAAGCGTCTGACGGTAGCGGTAGTGATATGTGTTTGGTGGTAGGGAGCTTCCGACCAACGTGATACGCGCCTGGTGCGACTGCAACAGTCGAAAAGATCTATTTTTGATCTTAATTCTACAAATATAAGTATACATAATCCTTCAATAATACTCCTAAGATTTATATAAACAATTAGGCAATTAACGCCTAATCACACATTCTATCTCATTAATTCAATTTTCGTAAAGTATTTATATTTTTACAAATATATGAATCAATACAGTAAAGAATAATTATGATCCTTCTAAAGTTCTTTAAACTCATTGTATAGACTTGGGAATTGAAGGGTTGAAACCTCATGAACAAACAGGAGCAAAAACAACATCGAAAATCACCAAGTTCATCATTCCTGTCATTATTGGACAGCCTGCCATATTTTGGCCATATCTCCCTCGTTTCTCAACTAAATCACAAATCTTTTGAATCTATGAATACGTAAGACATAAGGCTACAATTTTTGTAAAGAAACCTTATTAAAATATCTCCGTTAGGGTATTTGAATTTGACCTCTAAGTGGGTGATTTTGCTCAGAGTTTTTGGTGTGTCATCTTCCTTGGCCAACTCCGTTGGCTCGGATTCCGGCATCTTTCCGGCGAATGCCATGAACGGCCAAGAACATTAACTTAATGAATTCATTTACTTTGAACTCCTAGCTTATTCTCCTTGTCACTGAAATCCCAACGGTGTATCCCGAGCGTCAATCGAAGTTGTATAAGATCGTTAAATCCATGGTCAGCTTCTTCTTCTCTCTCTTCATTCTCTATCTTCCTTTCTTGTTGTGTGATGGAGATGGAAACTTAAAACTTTCCTCTTCTATAATTAATTTCTATATCTGATTTAATTTCCAATCTTTTCCAAAACATATCTATTTTTTTGCAGTGATTGTGTTTTTAGAGTCAAGTAGTTAAATCTTAATTAATGATGGAATGAAAATAATTTCTTTGAAATTTAATTTTTTTTGCATCTCGGGCCCACCTCAGTAATAAATTAATTGAAAAAAACTAGGGGCCTATGATGGATATTGGGCCCGTGGGTAACTATTTGACATGCCTAATGGATCATTTCATCATATGCATGCGCCATCCTTTGTAATTAGATGGTAAATGATATGACTCGAGTGAAAAGCGGCAAGTCAACTCAGGCGTGATTGGGACCCAAAATTTGGTGATGATAAGATTCGATTTTCACAATTTTCAGATCTAAAATTTACACTAAGGCTTCCCCCATCCATGTATAAATAAATCTTCCTTGACCGAGGAAGGGGAGCTCAGTTCGAGTATTGAAGGTACACTATGTTTAGAGATTATTATCCTTCACTACTACAAAAATGACCTTTTAAATCAGTTATTTGGACCCTTTTAAATCGGTTTTGAACCGATGCAAAAGCCAGCGATGCAAATACTCAGGTCACTTTTTGCATCGGTTGTAAAAACCGATGCAAAAGCCCTTCCCAAAAAATGGCGCCATTTTTGTTAAGAATCTTGTACTCATTCCATTCCAATTTAAATTGCATGTGTCAGTTCACGATATTTGATTGAAGTTATTTTCAAGATAATTTATTCGAATATTAGGGGGAATTGAAAAATAAATTTATATATTTAAAAAATACATCAAAATTTTTACAAAACTAGATGTAACATGACAATATTATTTAATCAAATGAGTAATGAAAATAGAGAAAGAAGGTGAATGAAGTTTGACCCTATAAATAGTAAACGTGCAACTTAATTTGGACGAAGGGAGCATTGTATTTTTATTGGATCATGAATCCATCATTGGTATAGTATAAGCCTAATTCCGTCCTGATCTAATCTTTTTCAAAAGATCATCAGTCTAAAATTGGTTAGTCCTTCATTTAGGCTCCGTTTGAAAAGAAATGACTTCTGGAAGTCATTTTCCCCATTTTCTACCATTTGACAAATCTAGAAAATGAAGTCAATGGAAAATGAACCCTCGATCATATGGAAAATGAAGGCCTAAATTCGGAATCTGACTTCTAGATAATTTCTAAGTCATTTTCCGTTTCTCTTCTTCCCTCTCTGCTCTTCGCCCACTCTCGCACATCTAGCACTTTCCATCGCCGCCATCCCCATAGTCCTTGTCCCCATCTCAATTAGCTCTCCCCCATTACCACCGTCGCGATCTCTCTCGCCACCATCCACATCGTCTCCATCCCCATCTTCATCTTTTCTTGCATAATAGAGTTGAACCTTTTCCAAACTTCACTGCTCTGATCCAACCTTGATTTTTCGATCTATTCTGGAGCAGTACAACAGCGGCATGATTTGAGATGCTTTTAGTGCCTTTTAGTTGGATCTGGATTCTTCTGGCTCATTTTTATCTCGCTGGTTAGGAACCGAGCCTCAATTTTTGGATCTGAATTATTAATTTTGCAGTGTTAAATCAACTTGTAGAAAACTTAATAATAATTTTAAAAATTTTTTATTTTGCAAATATTCATTTTCTAGAAAATGAACCAAAGAGGAACAAGCATTTTTTAGATTTCTTTCCAAACACCAGAAAAATGATTTCAAGAAAATATGTGTACTCCAACATTTATATCCCAATTTGTACCCCGCAGGTTTGCATCAACATTTTGTGCTGGTGTAAAACTAATTTTTATTAACGCACCAACTTTGTGCCCGTGGAAATTTTTGTTAACGCATCAATACTTCTGTGTAAATCATTAAAATGTATGTGCATAACTGTAACTATGGTCCTTTGTTTTTTGGTGTACAAATGAGGTATATTTTTTGGTGTAAGTGTAACATGGTCCTTTGTTTTTTTTGCGCTACAGTGATAGGCGACAGCTGAGTCTTTAACCTGCCAGCCAAACGGGACTTTAAAAACTGCTGAGTATAAGGAAACTCTCCTTGGAAACCCTACCCACACTTCGCTACCTTCTCTCCGTCGTCTAAACCACAAACAACAGGGAAGAATCACAGATGGCGCCTGCTCCGATCATCGAAGAAGTCGAAGTTGAGAAGAAGCTCCATGTACATCTCTTTCTCATCCTTATCTCCGGATTTGTTTCGATTAACTTTTCATTTCCGAATTCCTAGAACTCTGAAAAAAGCTTAGTTTAATCTCCGTATAATCGCATGATATCTGGTGAAGCAGGGAGATGCCCCAGTTGTGGAAGACGTGAATGAGAACGACGAACACGATGATGATGTCGAGGATTCTGAGGATGACGACGATGACAAGGAAGAAGGAGCTCAAGGTCTGTTCGTCATGTTTAACCTCTGACTCATCTTGTTCTTCTTTTTCAATTCTCTCTTTCTGGGTGCAATCTGTTTACCCTATTAAGATGTATATCCGGCTAATTCCGATTATCTTAGATCTGATTCAATAATGTATTGTGCTCAATAATCTCAACATTTTGATGTTTAGTGTTTGCTATAGCAGTTGTAGTTGTGAAATGATGGTTGTGATAGTATACTGGTTAGTGTGCGCTCAAATTCATGATTTCAAGAATGTGTGAGTGTGTGACTATCATTCACACAATGTGAATGTTCCAGATGTGTCCATGTAGATTAGTTTTCTCCATCTACATATTTGATTATATTGTTCTGCTCAGATGTTTGTATATTAGTCTTTATCCTCTCTCATCTTGTTCTTCTTTGCTAATTTCTTATTTCAGGGTGCACTGATGTATTAAAATGTATATCCAGATAATTCCCAACATTTTAGTTTTGATTCAACAATGTATGGTGTTCAATAAACTTGGCATTTTGATGTTTACTATAGAAATGATGGCTGTGATAAGAACTAGATATCTCATGAAATCATGACCTTAGATCTCTATGGACTGCTTAGTGTAGTGCTCAAGTTCACAAATTCAAGAATATGTGACTGTCTGTATGTATCCATGATGAGTCTTTGAAGATTAGTCTTTACCATCTTCGTATTTGATTATTTGGTTCTGCTACTATGCATGGAATGTGTTATTTTGTGTTAAAGAAGAGCAGTTTGGACTATATTTGTTTGACTGTCCCGTTATATTAGCTGCCTTGAGGTTTTTTCGAACATGATTTGTAATAGATATACTGGTCATGTACCATGACTTACCTGTTGGTTTTGCAATATTAATCTGGTAATGAAGATGACACTTGAAAAACATCTCAGTTCTCAATCAATCACTGTCTCATGAAATTTTCCTTGGATGTGTAAATAACCTTTGTTTTTAAACTTTCGTCTCATTATTCCTTATTATGAAGGTTGCGACACACCATCCGTGGGATTTTACTAGGTTGGTTATATGAATGTTGCTACAGAGAGGACGTATAACGTAAAACATTGCAACTGTTTTTCGTGCATTGTTTTATAGTGCTAATTAACTCTATGCAATTAACTAACACTAAATATCGCGTCACCAACATGTACTTGTGGGGATTAAGGTAATGTTGATGATTTGCCAGCAACCCAAACATGTTTGGATTAAGATGATGATGATTATGTGAAATAAATATAAATGTTTTCTAACAATTTGTTGTGAATGGTTTAATCTATGTTTTTGTTTTAACAGGTGGCAATGGAAGTTCAAAGCAGAGCAGGAGTGAGAAGAAGAGTCGCAAGGCAATGCTGAAACTTGGAATGAAACCTGTTTTAGGTGTCAGCCGAGTTACAATTAAGAGAACTAAGAATGTATGTATGAGTATCATGTTTTATTTTTGGTCATTTCACAATGTATATTTTGCATTTGAAATCAATCACATGTTTGCTGAGTCTTCATCATCTTAACAACAACTGCGACAGGTATTATTCTTCATCTCAAAACCGGATGTCTTCAAAAGCCCACATTCTGAGACATATGTCATATTTGGGGAGGCAAAGATAGAAGATTTGAGCTCTCAACTCCAGTCACAGGCTGCTCAGCAGTTTAGGATGCCGAGCGACATGGGTGGTTCAATCATGGCTAAGCCAGATAACACTGTGGCTGCACAAGTGGACGAGGAGGAAGAAGAAGAGATTGATGAGACTGGAGTTGAACCTCGAGACATTGATTTGGTTATGACACAAGCAGGAGTATCCAGGTTCAAGGCTGTTAAGGCTCTCAAGACCCACCAGGGAGACATTGTTAGTGCTATCATGGAGCTCACCACCACTTGAACGCTCTCTAGATCCATGTTTGGAATTTGATTTTTACCATTTCGTCATAATTTTCTTGGTTGCAGGACCATGTAGTAGTATTGCCTAATTGTGCTTCCTTTTTGAATCAGAATCATTTTTAAGCAGAATTTGGTTTTCTTTTGCTCTTTCATGTCTTGGTTATTATTGCATTGCCAGTAAAAGAAAATATCTTCTATTTCTAAAATAATAGTACTCCGTATGCACATTTGATGGGTGCCACACATCTTCAGAATTTATTTCCCAAGTTGACTGACACATTGAAAATTTCATCTTACTTTTCTAAATTGTCCTCCTACCCTATGCTTATTTTTCCCCCTTCTCCATCTCCCCTGCGTTTCTGTTTTTGCAGCTTCAGTTTGAAGCAAAACGAGCTAAAAATCACATAACATTTCCCTACATGCAACTGGCTCTATGGGAAGAACCATGCAGCAGGTGTTAACTTGTGTCGCGAAGAGTTGATCGACAAATCAAAACCCTAAGTGCGACAGAGTTTCACGGCGTTGAGCATAGAGAGAGAGAGCGCAAATTATATCCTACAGCAAGCTATACGAGAAGAACCGTACAGCCGGCGAAAATTAGCACCAGAGCCATGCGATTCAACGAGAAACGAAGAGATGGCAAACCCTAACTGCTTCGATTGGAGAACGAAGGAGGACGTTGGTGGCAAATCCTAGATGCGTCGATTGGAGAAGGAATGGAACACTGCCGAAGAAGCCTGGCCGAGATTGGTCGTGGATGAAGATGGCGAACCCTAGTTTGCGGAAGATGAAGATGAAGATGCCTTGGTCGAGTTTTATCGTGGATGAAGATGAAATGCCTGGTCGAGATTTATTGCCTTAGATGGATACGATGATGTTGGGAGTATGCAAGTTTAACTAAAATTTTTGCATTATATTTTCTAAATTTAAAGCGAATAAACTCTTTCTTATTTGAGAATAATCAATACATTATTTGAGAATGAGCATAAATTTATTTCAGAATAAACACTACGTCATTTGTAAATATATATTATAATTGTATTAAATAAACGTGTAAAAATGAGCACTGCATTGATTCAGAATGAGTATGATTACATAATTTCAGAAGAGCCCGGTTCCATGGCCACTCGATTCCAGTGGCCACGGAAGCCACTGCCCCCCCTACGGAGCTCCGATCATAAAATTGATGATTCCTACCCCCTCTAACCCCTCGGTAAACCCCCCCGTCAAGTCCCGACCCAAACTAATCACCCCACCTACGTCAATTGCACCTCGTAAGTTTTAAAGTCAAAAGTTTTGACTTTATACTTACGAGGTGCAATTGACGTAGGTGGGGTGATTAGTTTGGGTCGGGACTTGGCGGTTGGGTTTACCGGGGGGTTAGAGGGGGTAGGAATCATTAATTTTATGAACGGAACTTCGTAGGGGGACAGTGGCTTCTGTGGCCACTGGAATCTAGTGGCCATGGAACCAGGCTCATTTCAGAAAGAGTACTATATTATTTCAAAATAAACACCTATGCTTTGTGCGAGAATGAATATTACTTTATTCAAAATGAGCATTACTCGACTATACCTTCAGGTACACCTGGTTGTACCATATACGGACTCTAGAGTCTAGAGAGAGTTGGTGGAAGAAGCGAATGGATCAAAGTTGAGTTTTGCAACAGCGCTAGAAAATTGGAAAATTGTAGCGGCGCTTATGAAAGAGAGAGTTGGGAAAAACGAACTTCAAATCCTACACTAATACTTAAATATAAATAAAAGGGACTATTTGTTGGGACAAACGAAGTTTAAATCCTACACTAATATATAAACAGATTGAGCTAAGAAGATTTAAGTAAACATATTCATCCAAAACAGGAAGATTACTTATGAAACGATGATATATTTTAATTTTAATCCAAGTTTCATTTACGATACTCCAACTTCAAACTCCACATTCCACTTTAAAAGAAAGGCTAAAAGAAGAGAGCATATATCAAAACACACACTCCAACTATTAACCTGTATTCGACCCCGAAATGAACCAAAAATACAAAAACACATCACTTCGTAAAAAAAAAAAAGAATTATCTACGGTTACATTACACAAGCATCTCTGCCAAGCTCTGTTCAAATACTGCAACAGGGTCATAATAACAAATAACAATACTAATAGTTATAATCACAATAACAATATTTATTACCACGGAGTATAATAATAATTAATATTAATATAATAGGATTAAAAATAATAATAAATCAAATAACAACAACAACAACAATAAGATAGTTCTTACTTGGCTGACTCGCGCTACACTAGGACTGATGCACAAGGTTAATTCAGATTCCGGTACACTGCCGATAGCATTCTTCCAACTGTTTTTCTTCTTTTTTTAGACCTAACTCTAAAGGCAAAAGCATACCAAGCCACTAACAAGAACCACAAGCAGGCTTGCAGCCACAAGTAGATTGGGCATGAAAGTAGCAGATGAAGCTGAGCGCAATCGTGTAAATAACATCCTTCCATCTCTAGCTTTTGTGCTTCCAGCCGCTCCTTGGTTGTCTTTCCTGCAGCCTTCAAAGATTACATTCTTCACCTTGGTGGCAGTACAAGCTTCTTCTCTCGAACTTGTGTTATCCTGCATGGTCCAAACAAATATAACTTAGCATGCAAATATATGCCTGTTTCATTATGTTTTTTTTGGCTCAAATGGCTGATTTTTCAGAAAACAGAAGTGTTCATCATGTCAAAAGCTATTTATTCTGTCGATAAGTAGAACTATGCAGACTTGGCTACAAAAGGACCCTGAACTAGTCTGTCATGTCCAATGACTCACAAGTTAATGTTACAAGACATAATCACGTAGCAGTTATCTGAAGTCATCCTCATCTTGTCACTTGATATTTTTTGTGAATGTGGACACAGCTTATGGAGGTGACGATTTAGAAAAGCTCATCTTATTATTCCTTCCAAAGAAAGTTCTTAGGAGGGCAACAGGCGCAAAACTTTGTCACTACTATGTCTTTGGCATGAGTTTAAGCCCGATTTAGGTTTGTGTTTGCCGTGAGAAAAGCTCTTTTTCGTCCTAACGCGGTTTCAAACAAATTATAGTTTTGTCTAAAAGCTAATATAAAATGCCAAAACCGACTTTAATGATAAATCAATCCAATATGACTTTTGGGTTTCATGAATTGCATTTGAGGTTAACAAATACCGAATACTTTGAATCTTTTCAGACATTATAAATTTTGCACAAGTCTTTTCAACTTCAATGTCAACTCCTATCTAACACTCAAAAGTACTTCCCACAGCAGTTATCAAAAGGACTTTCAAAAAATACATTTCCGATAATGAGTTTCATCCGATCACAACCTCAGTATCAAGTTCATCGTTAGAGCATTAAAAAAAATCTTGAAAATTAATCGGCACAATGAGTTTCTTGCCACTGACCTCAATTAGTTGGGATTAAGGATGCTGGTGATGCTGAGAGAGCATATTGAAGAAAAAGCTGAAGAAAAACAAGGTTTACTGGGAGGAGCTTACATTAGTTATCTCTGAGTGTGCACTCTCTGCCTGATCTGAATCTCTAGGCCGGAGACATTGAACTGGTACAACATGAACTTTCTTTTGGAAACGGATTCTCCGAGGAGCACATCCTTGCCCGGTTGTCTGTTGATCACCTTGTTGATTCTGTACCTGCCGGGACCTTACTTTTATTCTAGGTCTAGAAATGCCACCGTTATTAGCAGCACTCTCTGGTTGGCAGTAAACCATTTCAGGCACCCCAATTCCACTACAGACTGAAGACAAAGCACCATCTTCATAATAATTATTGTTGACAAGATCTAGATTCCAGTTCTCGTTATCAGAACCGATGGTGGGGGTAGTGTACGTGCCAAAATATGGATTAGCAATGTAATTAACCTGTCTTGGAGGTATTGCCTCCTGATTATTTGGCGCAAACAGCTCATTTTGGAAACCAACTACCTCAGTCTGAAAAAGACAAAAAAAATCATAGGATTATTTCCAGTTATGAAAAAAATACCCATGAACCAATTAAGCACTGACATGGTGGAATAATAATCTTTAAGGGATATTAGAAAATCATTGATGTGCAAATACCTGAAGAAAGCTTCCATTTTCAAGCTGCTGAGTAACTTCTGCTTCAGATTCACCATCTGAGCTGACAAGGGCAGGCGGGGGAGCCATGTTCAAAAACTCATTTGGGTCAAATACCTTAGTTCCATACAGAAACTGGATATCATTATTATTCATAATAATGCCATTTGTGACATCTCCATATAAGTTGTAGGCAGATCCAAACTCCGGCATTGTATATGGGGGAGAAAATATGGGCTCTGCTGAAGGGTCGCAAATGTACTTCAATGCTTCAAGCTCAGGATCGGCCTGCAATATAGAAGGGCACGAAATTAAACACACTAATAAATGGTAGAAGCAATAAACCAATATGGTTAAGGTTTTCTGCTCACTGGAAAAGAGGTAATGTCAAGTACTTGATCTTCTTTACTGTCAGCAATACAACTATTACTGTTACTATCAATAGCGAAAATAGCACCACTGGGAGCTTCATCCACAGAACTCTTCTCTGGTGTTAATGGATGTGTGATGATGTGCTGTGACATAATCATAGGAGTAACACCTTCGCAAGGCTCCTCTTCAGCAAGTGACCTCACCTCATCGGAGTTTGAAGCTTCAGCACAACCATCCTGTTTTAACTCGGGCTTCTTAAATAATCTGCACAGCACAAAGGGAGCCTGTACAAGGGAATGTAACAATTACCCCAAACATTTTATTAGTGATAAACAAAAGAAATATTGTAGTGTAGACAATGATGAAAGAATTTATAAATGCCAACCTGCCCAGGGAGTGTTCCATCAAATGCTTTCTCGGTTGCACGATATTCGTGGATCACCCAATGAGTCCTCTTTCCTTCAGGAGCTCGGCCTGTGTAGTAAACTAAAGTCTTCTTCATCCCAACCTTTTTGCCCTTCCTAGAAGATATGGTCCTGTCTTTACCAGTTGCCTTCCAGTACCCTCGCTCTGTTGCTCGATTCAACCGCTGTCCATTTTGGTACTTCCGATCTTTAGGACAGAAGAAGAACCATTCATTGTCATGTGATTCAACTACTGACATATCTGCACAACAGAAACAATATAACCACAAGAACCATCACTTTTTAGGTACAAGAAAACCACGGTCCGAGACTCAACAAAAGTAAAACTGTGTGGTTGCGTCCTATGTCGGGAGAAAAATAATATGAAATGTGGGACCTTTTACGACAGAGGGAGTGTAGGAAAGAAAACTACTTACTAGGCAGACCAAAGTGCGGAATTGTTGAAAAACATCTAGCCAAAAAAAAGGGAATTGAGAAATAGAAGAGTTCAATTTATGCCCAATTGTCCACCCAAGTGAACTGATGATGAGTCTAACAAAAGCCATCTAACAAGACTTTGTGGTCAAGATGATCAAATCCGAGGCGAATTTAGTTGATTTACCACACCCCACGATAGGATTTCAGATATAGAGTTTGGCATCGTTCCAGATAGATACCACACCAAATACGACTGAAGATTGGATTTTTGCACTAAAGTTGAGTCAGATGAAGAAAATAAGCGTTAAAATGTTACTTCAACTCACCAGGCAAATCCCAGGGCTCATGTTTACAGATATCAACCTCGCGAATCACACAGACCTCTGCTTCTGAGCCGGTGATCTTCATCTTCAAGTAGTGATCAACCAGCTCCACATCCGTCGGCCGGAACCGGTACCCCACCGGCAGAGATTGCAACGGCGGTAATTCAGCCACCCTCTCTACCTTCAATACAGCCATCGCCACTTCCCCAGGTTTGAGAGAATGAGGGCGAAACACGTATCCGAGTGCAATTGGACCGAGGTCAAATAATTACAGAAGGATTAAGTAGGAATTCAGTTATTAGGGTTTCAAGAAGCCATGATAGTTCCAGGAAACAGAGCTGTGAAAAAAATGGAGAAAGATAATGAACACAGGATGGTAGCTGGTAGGACAGTGGGAGTCCTCTTTTACCACCCAACATAAAAAGTAAAGACTAAGGAGATCTTCTCCATAGGTAATTTCTTCTTTACAAGACTGTACGATAATACTTTGAAATGAGAATCCTAATTTTGCTCTAAATATCAATCTATGACTTTTGGTGATCTATAAATATATTTGTAATTTAATCACCTTTTTTGTAAAATATTACTCTTGCATAATATTTTTGATTTAATTAATTTTATGTGATAATAGGGTTGATGTTTTATTATAATGTCTTCTACTATTGATTTTTTTTTATTTGCTATTTTTAATCACACGCAAATTATTGGGACATCTTTCCATAATTTGGCCCTCCAAAGCAAACTAGTATATTTCGCTAGGTCTTTATTAATTAACATTCCCATCTAAAGAATAAGAAAGTTTTGTGGTATATTAGTTCTTTTGGTGTTCCTTAGTCATATTAGTTTTGTGGTATATTATTTTCCTAAGAACTTTATTAGATTATCCTCATATAGGTTTCAAATGGGATGGGCTTTTGGTATTTTAGCAGGAGACTAGAAGTACATATATTATTTAAGTTACTTTAGCAAATACAAACATGTTCAACTTTATTTCAAAAAAAAAAACATGTTCAACTATTCCAATCCAAAGGAAAAAAAACTAAAAAACCATACCCCTATTTTAAAGCTAAAGTCCACTATTGGTCCTTCAACTTTATGAGTTGTACACGATTGGTCCTTCAAGTTTCAAAAATTCATAAATAGTTTTTCAACTTTATGAGTTATGCACAATTGGTCCTTCAAGTTTCAAAAGTCCATAAGTAGTCTTTCAAGTATACGACAGCCCTCCACATGAGGTCCTTTTAACGGTAAACGTTAAAAGCTAAGGGGCTGTTTGGCAACTTCTGAATCAGTAAGTGCTGAACCAGTAAGAGGTCTAAACCATTAAGTGTTGAACCAGTAAGAGGTCTGAACCATTAAGAGCTAGTATATTGCTTAACTATTCAGAGGCAAATGTCTGATCAATTCAGATAAGAGGTCTTAACCATTCAGACTTTGTATAATACTTAACCATTCAGAGGCAAATCTTTTAACCATTCAGACATCTGAACCATTAAGAGGCTGAAACAAACAGTCTGAACCATTAAGTGCTGAACCATTCAGACATCTGAATCATTAAGAGTCTGAAACAAACAGCCCCTAAATGGAGTACTAACTTCATATAATACGGAGTAGTCGTACTTAGGAGTTGAAGAACTACTTATGGACTTTTGAAATTTGAAGGACCAATTGTGCACAATTCATAAAGTTGAAGAACTATTCATGGACTTTTGAAACTTGAAGGACCAATCGTGCACAATTCATAAAGTTGAAGGACTAATGGTGGATTTTAGCATTATATTAATATGTGTAAAAAGAAATAATTTAATGCTCCCAAACCTTCAACAGTTCCCACTACATGAACAATCATTTTTTTTATTGCCTCTTATTGAGTGATCTTCCTCTTCTTGAAAAGACTAGTACTTTTGGCCTCCTATATTCCAATGGTCATTTGTTCCTATGCATGATTCAATGGTAATGACTTTTATGAGGTGTTGTTTTATTTGTTTGTGGTTATTTTGATGTTTAGTTTTGGCTTTAGAAATTGATATTGTTTTAAATTGTAATACCCTAATCCGTCTAGGTCTGCAGCCCCATTCGGACTAAAGTATTTAACTTGGTAATCGTAAAATTTAAAACTTTTCAAACACACTTTATTAATCTCAATAATATTTTTCATAACATATACAGTACGGAGTATTTAACAATATTGCGGAAGCGAATTTAATATTGACATATCATAAATTATTTCAAAACTTGTCACATCCATCCTGACAATCTCGCCCCATCTGCCGCCAGGATCACATTAATCTTTCTGTTTACCTGCGTGTAGCAAATAAAACACACTACACGCTCAGCGGTGAAGCTGAGTAAGCATATCTAAAGCGTCGAACATCCA